ATTTAGCAGACGCTTTTATCCAAAGCGACTTACAGATTAAGACAATAGAAGCAATCAAAACCAACAAAAGAGCAATAATATGCAAGTGCTATATTAGTATATTATTATAGTGTTATATTTCAATTCACAAAGAAACGTGCAGCATTTTGTTCAAGCAATAATAAAAGGACACATTTAATTTATAATTTGTCTTAAATCGAATCGTGACTTGAGTGAATCGTTAAATCCCTAAAAAGAAGTGTATGTGTGCACTGACCGCTGCTGGAAGGCCTGCTGGCCGCTGGAGTCCTCCTCCGGCTCTCCGTTCCTGTAGAAGTGCAGCCCCAGCTTCTGAGGGTCTTTCTTATCAGCGGCTGTGAGACACAGCTCCACCACTCCCTCATAGAAGCGCACTGGACGAGCACAGAATGTGATCAGGGTGTTATATAACGCTAAAAGCAGGTGAATCGTTTAAAGCTCACTCTGCACTCACCTTGCCGGTACTGTGAGCAGACGAGGGGCAGGTCTGTGTGGTGACTGATCTGCTGATAGAGGCGCAGGGACTCCTTCAGCGTTCGCTCCTTCTCCAGCTTGTTCTGGATCTGTCTGGAGCCCTGCAGAAGCTCATTGGCCTGTCAGGAGGGAAAGAGATCTGATAACGACATGATTCTCAACCGCTTACGGTTTAAAATAAACAAAAAACTAAAACAAAAAAACAGCATAGTTATGGTCAAGGAATACTTGAGGAATTAAAAAATTATTTTATTTTTCAAATAATAGTCTGTTAATAGTAAAAAAAATAAAATAATAAAAAGTAGTAAAATTAAAGTTAATAAAAGCTGCTAAAATAGCTATACTTATACTAAATATACTAAAAAATAAAATAAAATAAATAAAAACTAAGAAATACAAATAAAATACAAAATACAAAAAAAATATTAATAAATTAAAAATTAAATGAATTAATAAATAAAAATGAACTAATAAAAAATAAATAAATAATAGCTACACTAAATAAATAAATAAATAAATACAAAAACTAAGTACTAAAAATAAAAACAATAAATAAAAAAACAGCTACACTAAATAAATACAAAAAATGAGTACTAAAAAAACTAAAAAAATTTTTTTTTAAATACGTTTCGCTCTATATGTAAAACAAAAACAAAAAACTAAAACAACTAAGTAAATAAAACTAAAACAACTACATTAAAAACCAAACAAATTAATGAAAAAAGTATAAAAATCAAATAAATAAGCTAAATAATAATTTAATAATAATTTTTCTAATAAAGGTAAGTGTCACTAAATAAATGTAAATTAAAAATAAAATAAACAAATAAACACAATAAATAAAAAATAGAACTAAATATACTGAAATAAAAAAACAAATAAAAACTAAACTAAGATTTAAATAAAAATAAAATACAAACTAAATGTAATAAATATATTAAAAACGAAATAAATTAATAACTAAAAACTAAATATAAAAAATAAGCCAAATAAAAAATAGCTACATAAAATAAATGAACAAATACAAAAACTTAATAAAAACTGAACTAAAAACTAAACTGAAATCAGTAAATAAATAAAACAAACAAAAAGTAAATTAAAAACAAACTAAAGCTAAATAAAAAAATGCATACATGCAAAACCAACAACAAAAAAACTAAATAACCAAATAAATAAAACCCTGTGACTCCTTTCCCACAGCTGCCTTGCGTTATTTTTCCCTCGTTTTGTGTCTTCACACCGTGTGTGGTTTGTGTGGCGTCTGACTGGAGTCTCATTGAGACGCACAGGTACCTTGGAGCAGATGCTGTCGTCGCTGCTGTACAGCAGAGGGCAGATGTCTCTCAAGTGAGCGCTGACGGTGTCTACACACGCGCTATCTTTGATGTACACATTAATGATGGCGGTGATGAGAGCGCCACTCAGCTCGAGTCCAGAAACAACCACATCCTTAAAACTCACCGCCTTAATCTGGTCCTGAAACTCCTGACGCAGAAAGAAAACCACATGAATGCTTGTGCATCAAGAATTTGACGGTGAAGTGAACAGTGTTCATGGGTCAAAGACGTTAAGATGTCCGCATCAAAAGAACTTGATTATATGTGACCCTGGAGCACAAAACCAGTCTTACGGGTCAATTTTCTCGAAATTGAGATTTATACATCATCTGAAAGATGAATACATAATATTTCCATTGATGCATGGTTTGTTAGGATAGGACAATATTTGGCTGAGATACAACTATTTGAAAATCTGGAATCTGAGGGTGCAAAAAAATCCAAATATTGAGAAAATCATCTTTAAAGTTGTCCAAATGAAGTTCTTAGCAATGCATATTACTAATCAAAAATTAAGTTTTGATATATTTACGGTAGGGAATTTACAAAATATCTTCATGGAACATGATCTTTATTTAATATCCTAATGATTTTTGGCATAAAAGAAAAATATATAATTTTGACCCATACAATGTATTGTTGGCTATTGCTACAAATATACCCCAGCGACTTAACACTGCTTTTGTGCTGCAGGGTCACATATGTCCATAGAAAGCACATTAATATAAGTGTCTACATTTAAGGTTTCAAATAAGTTTTTGGAGGATAAAATGTTAAAATTTGGTTTAAATACTGTCATTCAGTGTAACACAATATTTATGTAAAAATTCAAACATGCTTATTCTGACGTGTACATATTAAAATATATAAAAGAATTAGAGAGCATATTAAATTTCATTGTGTTTTAAAGGAGTAAAACATTCTTACTGACCAATGGGCAAAACCTAGGATAGTGGCACATTTTAAACACTAATTAGTATTTGGGGTGAAAGTAATTAGTCTTTTAATGTGTCATAAATTGATTTTTGTTGTAAATATGCCTGACGAGATTGTTACACTGAAGTGGCAAATTTAAAAAATGCAAAATTACAACTAATTAGTATTTGGGGTGAACGTAATTAGTCTTTTAATATGTCATAAATTGATATTTGTTGTAAATATTCCTGACAGGATTGTTACACTGAATGACATTTTAGTGGGTGTCTTCTGTAAATCAGGGAAAAATGTATATTTATTTTTTGCTCGGAAAAACAAAAACAAAACTGCAATTACATTAAAAATAAAACTTTTTAAATTTTTGGGGGGGAAAAACAACAACAATTTAAAGCAGTATTACACTTGTTGTTTTTATGCTTAAACCCTTTTTCGTCTTTGACCCTCATGTTCCAGAAAGCATGATGGTAACAGAGAGACATGGGTCATACTTTGGGCATCTCAGAGATGATGAGGCTGAACTGATGGTCACACAGGAGCTTCCAGAGCGCCAGCATCTGATAGGAGCGATGGATCAACTGCTGCATGGCCTGAAGAGACGCTTTCTCATACGCTTGAGCCTCCGCTGAGGAGCAAACATGAGAAGATGGTGAACACCTGAGCGCTCACAGATAACACAGAAACACACTGAAACTCACTGTGGTACTTCCTCTGGAGCTCCTGCTGCACTTGCTGAGAGCTGGAACCATCGGGCCGCATGAATCCCAGAAGCCTTTGCTGTAGGTTTGCTGGCGAGCTGAAACTGAGGAGGTCAAGTGAGTTATAGTAAAGCATAGTTATGGTTACATATTTACTTTAAATGTAATAAAAGAATTAAAAATAGGGAACCAAAAAAATGGAATTAAGATCAGTGATAAAGTATTAAAATATTTTTTGTTTTTAAATAAATAGTAAATTTCACTAAATAAATGAAAAAAAAAAAAAAACTTACAAATTAATCAATGACTACATATCTGAAAATTTGTAAATGAATAAAACATTAAATACTAAATAAATTCATTTAAAAAAAGTCAAAAATGAATAAGATAAATAAACAATAAATACAAACTAAATAACTATGTTTGATTTATTTAAATATAAATATAATAAATATAACCTTAAAAATATAAAAAATAATAAGGTAAATAGGTTTAGAAAATAAAATAGGTTTGCTGGTGAGATGAGAGTGAAGAGGTCAAGTAAGTTAGAAAAGCCAGCGTGCATTTCAACAAGATGACCATGAGAGGATCTGAAGGGCACCTACTTGGCCACACCCAGAGAAGTCGGACTGAACTGGGAGTTTTTGTCCAGGAACTCCTTCAAACCCTGAAGCTCCAGCAGTACGACCTCCAGATCAGATGAACTGGCTGTGCTCTCCAGCTAAAACCAAAGAACATCATCAGGAAATACACAGAACGCTGCTGGAAGTGATTTCAACCTGAACCTAAACACACAAAATCATTGACAGGCAGAGAACATTTCTGATTGGCTAAAAAAATGTGGGAAGTGATGCACTACAAAAACCCTGGAACGCAAACGGAGCAGAAATTTAAAAATGCCCCAAAATTACAAATCATTACTCACAATCAATCAATTAATCAATCAATAAAATAAGAATTTGTGTAAAAATGCTTTTAATCGGCCACTACTCACAATAAACAAAATAAAGCACTTAAAATAAAAATAAAAAAATCTAAAATCTGTCATTACTCACAATGAAAATACATAAATAAACAAAAACATTTTTGTAAAAGTGCTCCAAAATTTGTCACTCACAATAAACAAATAAAAAAACGAAATTAAAACATGTTTGTAGAAATGCTTCAAAATCTGTCATTACTCCCAAAAAACAAAATAAATAAATCAGTATTCAATTAAATACTCACAACAAAATAAATAAACAAAATAAATGTGAAAAACTAAGTTTTTTTTATTTCTTGTAAAAATGCTCCAAAATCTGCCGCTACTCAAAATAAACGAAATAAAGCACTTCTGTAAAAAAAAATACTCTAAAATCATTACTCACAATAAAAATACATAAATAAAAATAAATTAAACACTTTTTTTTTGCAAAAATGCTCCAAAATTTGTCACACAATAAACAAAATATATAAATAAAAAAAACTAAATAAAACATGTTTGTAGAAATGCTTCAAAATCTGTCATTATTCCCAATAAACAAAATAAATAAATCAGTATTCAATTAAATACTCACAACAAAATAAATAAATACAAACAAAATAAATTACGTATTTTTTATTTCTTGTAAAAATGCACCAGTCGCAACAAACAAATAAATTCATACAAAACAAATAATCAAAACATGATTTTTTTTAAATGCTCTAAAATTGGTCATTACTCACAATAAGTAAATAAATGAATAAATAAAAACAAGGCAATTTTGTAAAACGGCTCCAAAATCGGTCATTACTCACAATAGTCACAGTCTGACTCCCTTTGGCTAAGATGGTCTCCACCGAAAGACTCCCATCCCAGATGTTCCTGTTTCAAAGCATCAACATTTGACAAGAATCAGTCAAAATAAACCTTCATCCAGCTGTTACAAGCGTTCATAAAGTCCCATTAGTCTGTATTTGCTGGTAAGGCTGACTGACCCCAGTATGCGAGTGAAGTAGATACTGATGCCGTTGTGTTTTCCAGAGAAGATGACCTCGGGTCCAGAGGAGGTCACTGCAACGCTCGGGCTCATGGGAGTCGCTGGGACGTAAGGCGTCGACATATTCGGCGGGAACATGCCTGATGAGTCAAGATGAGTCAACCACGTATTTACAGACAACAGCAAAAAACACATTCATAACATGACACTTGTGCAACATTCACTTTCAATATTCAAGCACGAAGCAACAAGATACAAGAGCAACAGGATGCATACTGGACTGTGATACTACTGCATTATGTTCTATATTTAGAATACCATGCAAAATAACAGGAAAAAAGACAACAAAAAGATGCATTACGGGCCTGGAATACAGACAGACATTTATTTACTTGCGTAGAAAAAGATTGCAAGGAATAGTTCAATCGAAAAATTTTAATATCCTCATCCTCAGTTCATCCCAGATGTAGATGAGTTCGTCAGATTTGGAGAAATGTAGCATTGCATCAGTATCTCAGCAATGGATGCTCTGCAGTGAATGGGTGCCGTCAGAATGAGAGCTGATAAAAACATCACAATAATCCACAAGTAATCCACAGCACTCCAGTCCATCAGTTAACATCTGGAGAAGACAAAAGCTGAAACACATCCAGCATTAAGACGTTTTTAATTAAAATATGAGTCCTCTATTCATAATAATGCTTTTTACAGTGAAAAAGTGTTCTGGTCTGAATCAGGAGAGAAATCTGCACACATTTAAACAGCTCTAAACAAATATGTGGCTAGATTCTTTTGTCTTCTCCAGATGTGAACTGATGGACTGGAGTGGTGTGGATTTACTTGTGGATTATTGTGATGTTTTTATCAGCTCTCATTCTGACGGCACCCATTCACTGCAGAGCATCCATTGCTGAGACACTGATGCAATGCTACATTTCTCCAAATCTGATGAAGAAACAAACTCATCTACATCTTGGATGGCCTGAGGATGAGCACTTTTTTAGCAAATGTTGCTTTTTGCGTAAACTATTGCTTTAAGATCAACTATACTAGTACACAGACTAGTGAAGCGGTCGCTGGTCTGAGGGGTGGTTTATACCTGGCACAGGTGTGACAAGAAAACTGGGGTTTGGTAGGGGGCTGCCGACAGGCATTGGGGATCCTACAATCACAGCAGACTACAGATTAGACATTAGTTGGCACCGACACATGAACAGCCGGCTACTAGTCAGTGATCTGACATGGTTAATGGTTAAAACAACAAGATCTGTGTGGCAGGTTGAGATGTTAGTCACCTGGCACGGGGGAGCTGAAGAGCGGGCCGACGTTACTGGGGGCAGAAATGGCAGATGGGAAACGCATCTGAGCCTCTCCACCGTACCTGCATAAAAACACCTTCTCTATTAATACATCATGTCAAAACTGCAGACATAAAGCCGTGCAACATATCAAATACTCGCAATACATTCATGACGATTTTGTTGCCCATATAAAATTTAGAAACATCATGATTTGTGAATATTGCAATGGTTTTAAGGTACATTTTATTTAGTCATTCAATGAACTGATAAAATGTATAATATTTTCCGGAATAATTGTTGCACTGGATCAAAATTGTTCAAATAAAAAAAAAACTGAAGTCACATTGGTGTATAATATAGAGATGCACCGATTGCAATTTTCTTGGCCGATACCGATTTTTTTCTAAGAACTATAATTGACAGCATATACAAACAAAAATCTTTTTTCAATGCAAAATTTTATTTTCATAAAAGTTGTTAAACGTTACAATTTTCCCCACACTGCACTAAGTTACAGATGTTTTCTCACTTAGACAACTCTCAAAATAAAGTGCTCTGTGACTGGAAAGAGGTAGAAATGAGTTGCATAACAAAACGGATGTCATTTCCCACTGTGTTTATAAATGGATTTTTTCCAAACCTTATTAAATGTGTCATCTTTTACATCAAATTCTTAAATTTCATCAATTAATGCAGTTAGAATAATAAGACACTGTAGAGTTGTTACCATTCAAATGAAATCTGTATCAACAAACTCTGCAGGAAACACAGAAGCTGCATCTGAAGTGGCATTAAATGCATTTACACCACAAAATTGCAAATGCATAAATAATGTTATAAGATTAATGTTTAAGATATTTTTTGAACATACAAATAAGAAACATTGGGGAAAATGCAATACTTTTAAATATGAAACCAAAGCACCAGTAGGTGGCGGCAAATGACTGTTTTAATGATCGAGTCATTTAGTCATTCATTCAACTGAATTCAGAAACACGTAAGTGACTCTTTATGAATGGGTTACTGAATCACCGACTCACTCGATTCGTTCAAAAACGTGGATTCATTCAGTAACGAAACACTGCTGTGTTGATCAGAGACACACAACAGTTCTGCTGTGGCTTTGATTGGAACAATTTTCAGTAGCAAAATTGAGCAAAAACAGTCAATATTGTGTCTAAAATGCAAGTCACTTAATTGTAACTTCTTGTTTATTGAACTATATTGTATAAAATCAGTCACACTGCAATCGTGCTGATATTCGGGAAAACATCTTGGTCGTGTAATGTTGCTTACCTATATCATATATTATAAATATCTTTTTTTTTTCTAGCGCAGTATGCATCTATAACTTTCTGTGGTATACTTTGTGTGCTGTTGTGCTCATTTGTTTTGATTTGAGTCTCTCGCTCTCTCTCTCTCTCTCTCTCACTCAGGCTGCACGAGCCTCATCTGCCACGACATCAATACAGCATCATTCTACACTGAATGCAATACAATCACGAAAATTTTTGGTGGCCAAGATTCAGTGCTTCCCTGGTCTCTCTCACTTGGTTTTTAAAAAAAACTACTTGTTCCAGACAAGCGTCAATCGTGCCCTGTGGTTCCCCCACGGTTTACTTTATTTGACCCTACATGTATTACAAATTGCAAACTTTGTGTCTTCTCTCTGCGCCGCTGACAACAAAACGGATCGGCTCGGAATCATAAGTGACTTTTTTTTTAAAATTACATTCAGAAATCATGTAAAATAGCAAAATAAATAAAAAACATACTAAAGATTTTTTTCTAAAAATGCTTCAAAAATGTCAGTATTAAAAAAAATGTATAAATAAAAACAAAATAATTAACTAAAGCGTTACTGTAAAACTGTTCCAAAAACAGCCATTACTCGCAACATAATTAATAAAAACAAAATAAAAAAGCTTTTTTTTTTTTTTTTTATACTACAAATTCTGTCAGTTAAAATTTTTTTTTTTTTAAATAAATTAATTAATAAAGCATTATTGCAAAAATGCTCAGAAATGTCATAACTCATAATAAATAAATACTATAAACATGTATTTTAGTTCCACTCACTCCACAACAAATCCGATAAATTTAATGGTATTCAGAACAAAACATGAATAAAAAAATATATATATCTATGAAATAAATTATAGTGCCATTCTTTATAACCAACATTCATTATAAACGCCAAGCCTAAACAATTTTATTTAAAGCGAAACGGAAACGACTGTCGTGTGGGAAATGTGCTATTCAAATGTGCTCACAAACCTCTCATGCGACACGAATCCAAATATTTTGCATGCTTGACGTTAACTGCATTATATAAAAGTCGCAACATAAATGCAATTTAAGATGCTGTGGATAAAAGCATCTGCCAAATGGATAAAATGCAATATAAATCTAAATTTCCTAAAGGGTGAGTCAATCAGTTCAAATTGTCTATTTAACTTAATTGATTAAAAAAAATAAAAAATTCACTCAAAAAAAAATATTAATAGCATACTAAATGTTAAAATGAAACAAACGTTCCTCTGACTTAAAAAAGACCCTTTAAGCCATTACAAAGCAACCACAAATACAGAAGACAAATATCATCAAAAGCCTGGGAAGAAACAATTATATATCTTCATATCTGACCTGAAGAAGGCTCGTGTGGCCCAAACAGAAACCTCTCGATCACACGCTGCAGAGGAACAGGCCAAGATGAGCGCTGTGGCACACGCCTGCCCTTCCTGTACAGCAAAACATGCGTATTTATCGACAAACACACATGAAAGTGTGTGCATTCAGAGGTTAAGCGTGCCGTCACTCACCCCATGCAGCTTGAAGAACCTCTCGATCTCCTCGCTCTCTCCTCCAGCGCTGCTCACCAGCAGGTGGCGCAGCTGATCCACCGGCCGCAGCTTGTGGAAGATGTGACTCCCCTGAAGACGGAAAACAAACCGTGAGAGAAGAACAACATGAAGAACATCACAACGGGAGGATCAATCATTAGTTATCGACCGATATTGGTTTTTTTGACAGCCGATGCCGATATCTTGGAAAGCAGGGTGGCCGATAATAAGGCCGATATAAATTTATTTATTTTAATTAATATTTAAGAAATTTGAAATCTTTTGAAAATGGATTAAAAAATAAACATTTTATATAAACATACTTGTAGTTTAGATGACAAAGTATTTTTCACAAATAAATAAATATTCAATAAAAATATAATTAAAAAGGATGTAAATACTGTAACCAATTAGTATTCAATTAAATACTCACAACAAAATAAATAAATACAAACAAAATAAATGGATTTTTTTTTTATTTCTTGTAAAAATGCTCCAAAATCTGCCGCTACTCACAATAAACAAAATAAAGCACTTCTGTAAAAAAAAATACTCTAAAATCTGTCATTTCCTCACAACAAAAATGCATAAATAAAAATAAATAAACAAAAACATTTTTGTAAAAATGCTCCAAAATGTGTCACTCACAATAAACAAAATATATAAATAAAAATAACTAAAATATAACATGTTTGTAGAAATGCTTCAAAATCTGTCATTACTCCCAATAAACTAAATAAATCAGTATTCAATTAAATACTCACAACAAAATATATTAAATACAAACAAAATAAATGAAGTTATTTTTTATTTCTTGTAAAAATGCACCATCAGTCGCAACAAACAAATTCATACAACATGAAGAACATCACAACGGGAGGATCAATCATTAGTGATCGACCGATATTGTTTTTTTTGACAGCCGATGCCGATATCTTGGAAAGCAGGGTGGCCGATATAAGGCCGATATAATTTTATTTATTTTAATTAATATTTAAGAAATTTGAAATCTTTTGAAAATGGATTAAAAAATAAAAATTTTATATAAACATACTTGTAGTTTAGATGACAAAGTATTTTTCACAAATAAATAAATATTCAATAAAAATATAATTAAAAAGGATATAAATACTGTAACCAACAGGGTACTCAGTATTCTGGGAAGTTTGTGTGCATTGGGAATCATATTTTTTCAAATAAAGCCAAGGTAACACACATTTTACATACAGCACACAGTGGAAATTACATGAATATGACAGTGGGCAAATGCATAAAGCTCAGCATAATTTCAATTCACGAGTTTATGATCGCGTTCAATTCACACGATCATGCAGGATACACATGCACACTTCACAAGATCTCACAGCTGGATCCGACTAAGTTTGTGAAATTAAATGTTCATTAGTCATTCAAAGATTTTTTAAATGATATAAATGCGTATTTGCTGAATTCTGACGGCAAACGAGAAAGTATTATAATGTTTGCCTTTCTATTACTAATAATATTATTAGACAGAATTGTTAAACGACGACAGCGAACAAGAGGGAGAATGTGAGCACTGTGAGCACCTCGAACGCATCGGCCAAATAGGAAAACTTATCGGCCGATGCCGATATGTGAAAAATGCCAAATATCGGCCGATATATCGGCCTTGGCGATATATCGGTCGACCACTATCAATCATACCTGAGCGGACAGGAGAACAAACTTCTGCGGTGGGACACTGTGCTGCTGAACGACTAGAGGAGTGTCAGTGACTGGAATGAGATCTTTATTGAGAGGAGTGAGGATTCTGGGAGATTCGGTTTCCTCGATTGAACACAGAGCCCACGAGTGACCGTCCACATTCACGGTCATCTGGAGAAAGAGACAAAAACACGGATGTCAGAGTGTTGTTTTGCCACAGAATAAAAAAAAATTCAAAAGGCTACTGCGACTTTTCAATCTGCAAGATATAAACTCAGAATTCTGAGGGAAAAAATAAATAAATATTGCGAGATATAAACTCAGAATATTGCGAGATATAAACTCAGAATTATGATTTTCTCACAATTCTGAGTTTATATATTGCAATTGTGGTTTTTTTTTCACCACAGAATGAAAAATTCTCACAATTCTAGGGCCCTATGAAATCCGTTTTATTTTTACCGAATTCCGTTTTATTTTTTACCAAATTCTGTGTTTTCAGTTTAAATTTTTCTGGATTCCATTTTCTCCATTTTAATTTTTAAATTCTGTTTTAATAGTCAAATTAAATTTTAGTAATCAAATTATTATTATTAAATATATGAAATATAGTTTATTTTTTTCCTCAAATTCCATTTTTTTTTAACCAAATTCTGTGTTTTTGGTTTTAATTTTTCTGGATTCCATTTTAATGGTTAAATTAAATTTTTATCATCAAAAAACATGTCTAATCAATTGAAATCACAAAAATAACTTTAATTAAATTTTTATTTTTACAATAATAAGGGCCTATGAAATTTTATTATTTTTTTTTCAGAAATTGTGTTTTGTATTTTAATTTTTCTAGTAATCAAATGAAGGCATAAAACATTTAATTTATTTTTTAATTAAATTATCAATTATACAAACCATTTCACTTCTTGGCAAACCGAGTGCTGCACAAGAGATATTTACTGTTATTACACTGTATTATGGTCTTGATTATTACTCTGTCTTCAGAATGTTTATCTGTCATTCCTTTGGTTTTAAATTCATGTTTTATTATTTATGGTTTATGGTTTGATTTTAATGTACAGCACTTTGGTCAGTCTTGTGGCTGTTTTTAAATGTGCTTTATAAATCAATAAAAACTTGAAAATTACAACATTGATAAAACAAAATGTGTGATTATTCCTTAAAAAATAAAGTTTTAATTTATTATTATTACTACACCGAGACATATGTTCTACTGTACAGTAGTAATACTGTAATACTTTTATTTTGACGGGTTGCCGTGAAGACCTTGAAGCTTCTAATGTGAAATGCTTATGAAGTGACTCTCTGGAGATGAAGTTCATGTACTTTTGATACATTCATCCAAAATTCTACCAACTCCACGACATTCCATGTTACACAGTTCCATAAACTGTTTGTATCTCACAATTCCGACTTTTCTTCTCAGAATCGTGAGGAAAAAAAAGTGGGAATTGAGAAATATAAAATCAGAATTGCAAGGAAAAAGTCAGAATTGTGAGATAAAAACAGATAAAGCGCTATTTTTTTATCCCATGGTGGAAACAAGCTTCCATAAAAATAAAAAAATTGACAAACAAATGAAGAAGCGACCAGACGGACAGGAACAGGAAATAAGGTCTCTGACCTGAGCTTCCATGAGGGGCTTTTTAAAGGGAAAGGAATCGTGGTTGATGCACCAGAGAATGTCACTGTCTTCTGTTTCAGACGCAGCCATCAGCAGAACTCCTTTACTGTAGAGAGCCTTGTGTACTTTAGCTGGTTTCTGGAGAGTGGAGGACGCAGAGAATCCAGGCGGCAGACGCACATGCACCAGCGCCAGCACGCAGGGCCGGGCCGAGATGTGTTTAGCATTTGGAGGAGCAAAAGGGATGGTGCTGAAGTAGAGACGCACACCTGCACCACACACAAAAACACAATTTAGAGGATTTACAGACCCAGGATTCATGAGCGTCTCCATTCATAAATCATACCAGCATGAGTGACGGCCAACAGCTGGCAGTCTGACGACTCCGAGCGATCAATAACTGCGATCTGAACAATGGGTTTGAACACGGAGCGGTCGATCGTCCTGAAAAACAGGCAAAGACATGCATTTGAAGTGAAAAATGCATTACACAGGAAAATATTTATTAAACATGAAAAACAGGAGTGCACGATATATTGGTGATCATATCTGCGACTAACAATATCATTTATAAATCATTGTTCAAAATTGTATTTAAGATATTTTTATTAATAATAAAATATACATTTTTATAACAAAATATTATAATAATTATAACATTAATTATTATCAGTAATTAAGAAATAGGAGTGCATGCAACATATTGGTGACCATATTGATACTGACTAGTATTAGTATTTTTTAAATTAATGTTACATTTATTAAAGATGATAAATGGATTATTATTAATAATAATGTACAAATTTTATTTGTATAATTACATGAAATAATTAACAATTAATAAATTCATTATTAAGAAAAACTAGGAGCGCACAATATATTGGTACTGACCAATTTTAGCATTTTTAATGTTATTAGTAATATTACTTAATACTTATTTATAAAGAAAAACTAGGAGTATTATATTGGTGATCATATCAGTACCAACCAATATTAGATGTTTTAATATTTAATTTCACATTAAAATAATGATACATTTATTATTAATATATGTTATAAATTAATAAAGTATTTATTTTATAATAAAATGTATTCTTAACAATAGTTAATATAATTAATTTAATTATTTTTATCACTACTTAGGAAAAATAATATATTAGTGACCATATAAGCATTGACCAATATTTGCATTTTTTTTAATTAATTTTAAATTTAAGATATTGATAAATATTTTATTATTAATAAAATATTTCTATATTATTTGTACAATAAAAACAGTATATTAATAATAATAACAATTATTATTAATGATTAAGAAAAACTTTAAATTAATTTTACATGTATTAAAGATAATGATTTACATAAATAATAATAATTAAAACATTATAAAAAATAAATGACAAATAAAAGCAAATACTCATAATAATTTATAATTACAATAATTTAATCAAATATAATATATTTACTAGTTTTTATGTAAACTTTTTGACTGTAAGATCATATTAATTATCAGCTATGTATTTATTAGCCACATTTTTTCTATCCGTGCATCTCTACAGAAAACCCAGGTGAAGCTCTACCTGGCGATGTTTCCAGCCGCTGAGACGATGGAGCTCTGAGACATGGCTGCGACTCGACTCATTCCCAGCCCATCAGCGCCGAGATCATACACCTGGCAGACACAAAAACAACATTAGACTGTCACCTCAACTCAAACTCAAAATTAGGGATGCACCGAAATAAAACACTGGGCTGAAGGCCGAATACGGTTTTTCGCATTTTTTTCCCCATTTTGCCAATTTTTTTCACCATTGCATAAATTAAATAGCCAAAATTTGCTTTAAAAATATTTACTTAACACTGAACATTTTTTAACATTCTAGCAGACATTATACCAATAAAACACAATTTAATTTAAAATTATGAAGTTAGTAAAATAATATTTTTTGGCCATTTTTGAGACCCCCTTCTTGAATCAGGCATGTATTTTTTACTGTACAAATAAATGCAGCCTTGCTGAGCTAAAGTTTTAAAACATTAGAAAATATTACAGATCCCAGTCTGAACACTATGTGGGAATGCTATAATAAATGTATTAACAAAGCTGTTGTAATTATTATTATCCTTTTTATTTTATTTTACAGAACACCAGTTAAATTACAATAATAGCATTTATTAATGTTGATGGGAGTTTTTATTTTGGCAGAAACCCCGCAGGAGGACCTCAGCGCTTCTTTTTGTCAACAACAGTAGATTAATAAATGAGTCTCATTACGAATCTGTTGCACGTATCGCATTGTCACATGCCTTGTAAAAAATCATAAAAATGTGACTGAGCAACTGACGAGTAACACCGTGTCGGTTCAGATTTTTCTCGCGCTTTGGACTTTGAACCCTGGAGCCGCGAGCTCATGCAGCGCTGTTTGAATGCATGCAATTCGTTCGTGCATTAGAAAACGCAACGTTCTGCAGTTTATTTAATTGTTTAAGGGCATTTCGCGATTTTAGTCATCATACAGTAACCAGCAACAACCACCCCTTCTCTCGGTGCTTGTAATGATTTCTGCGTCTTTCTCGGACAGTTTAACATGCTTCCACACAGCCGTCATGTTTAATGCATTAGTGCGCGCCTCTATTTGATCGCGTCATGTCATTGTTCGGTACAATTTATTCAGTCCTTTTGCTTATTAATTTCGGTTGCCGAACATTCGGTGCATCCCTACTCAAAATCACAAACACCACAGTCTCTGGTTCATTATGAAGAAGACCCACCTGCAGGACACCCTTCTCCGAACGAGTGTATAAAATGTTCCTTGAATTATCAACAGCAATTTGGACAACGGGATCTGGAAAAAAGACACGATTGAATATGAAACATCAATTGGGCTGATTCTGTCTGCTGAAGGACACTCTTACCGTCCTCGGAGAAGGAGAACTGCAGCAGTGAAGGGATGAGGAAGGACAGGCTGCTCTTGGAGTGGTTGATCTTCCTGCAGCGCTGACTGAACCAGCCCGCTTCAGCCTGATAGGCGATCTCGTACAGACAGCCGTCTTTCCCCGCCATGAAGACGCGGCCCACATCCGTGGAGGTGATGGCTAGCAGGTAGGTGTTATCCGTGGGGATGGAGTAGAGAGGATCTGGCAACAGCTGCATGGCTCCTGACATGCTGTCATTCAGACCTGCCGCACACAAACGCAGACTGAGAATTAGGGCTGTCAAAAAAAAAAATATTCGAATTTAGAATATTCGTTGAATTGAAAAAAAAAATCCGCATTCCACAATTTTAGGTGTGCGTTAAGGAGGCAGCCTTATCAGTGGCGCACGAGATGCGATGACGATGTAGTGTTGCATTATAATGCATTTATTAGCCTATCCAGTTGAAGCCACTAGATGCGGCGCTGCTGCGCTGTTAATTAAAAATATTGCGGGAAAAGAGAACTAGAATTTTCTAGAGGGACATCTATCACCGCTGCACTCGCGTCTCACACAAAAGAGCCGCATGTTTAGAAAGCCATGTAAAAAAAATTCTCCACTGCAACTCGTGTTTTTAAATGAAAAATGTACTTTGTGTGATTGGCTTTCGGCCCTTTGTATCAAACTATGCATACATACATGATGCTGTTTTGTTTATAGTTGTTTAAGCTACTTAATTATAATTGGTTTATAAACATTATTTTAAACATTATGCACTTTTTTTCACAGAAAGTAATGTTATCTTATGCTTTGAATAAACGTGCATTAGTAATATTTTGCGCCCTCTTGTGGCCTCAGAAGAGAAGCCAAAAGCTTTTCTTCACCCTAACTGAAATTATGCATTTTAAATTCAAATATAATTCGAATCTCGAAAGTAAAAAATTCAAATTTAGTTTTTCAGCCGTTTTGACAGCCCTACTGAGAATGAATCCAACATGTGCCAATGCTGATTAAATCACATCCAAACATGACACTCACCTGTATGGGCTTTTGGGAAGCTCAAGCCCAGGATCACGACATCCACCGGTGTGGCCAACACTAACAGGAAGTGGATGTGAGGCTGAAAAATACCTGTAACCAACAAAAGTGGCTGGTTGAGGTAGCTAGTAATAAAAAAAAGTGACCGATTCTTGAAACAGTATGAGATTTTTTTTTAATGACTGTGGGCTTAGTTTGCTTTCCTCTCCCTATTAATGGTTCTGTTTATTTATTAATTAATGTTTTTTTATTATTACTATTTTTTTTTAAATCATACTTTTTATTTATGTATAAATTCCCATAAATTCCATAAATTGATTTTAAAAATAGTAATTATAATAGTAATCATAAAAAACTAAATACAATTTTATAATTTTATGTTTTACCACACTCATGTTTTTATATTACAAATATGGTATTGAGATGGGTAATCTTTGTTGTTAAACATAAGAGTAAATATAAACGAAAAATATAAAATATGAATAAAAAAATAATTTATTAATAATACATAAATTAAACAACAAATAATATAAATTAATATATAGAGTAAATATAAGCAAAAATT